TAGTCACATGGGCTTGTGTGGGGGTGTTTCATTACGGCATTGTGGTCACAACCTGACCACCCTTCCTACGTCCGATAAAGGGTGGATTCAAGACAGGGGGGAGAGGGAGGGGTGTGTGTTCGTATAAGGCTGACCTTTAAATACCTCGGTGTTGGTAAAAAAAAAAAAATCCAAATTTTTAAAACTGTCTTGCCCTTCCCTCAGCTCACGGGAGGGATTGGCTTCATCCACCACAACTGCACCCCGGAGTTCCAGGCCAACGAGGTTCGCAAGGTCAAGGTGAGGCCCTCTCTGTCCGGCTGGGGCTGTCCTGCCCCCCAGTGGGGCGTTCGTGACGTTCCCGTGCGCCAGGAGCTGCAGTAGGAACTGCTCTGTCACCTGTAGACCTCTCTCGCCTGCACCTGCCTCCTCCATAGCTTCTACAAGACCTGTATTGCTCTATACGCTGTATATATCCCTATAGCTGGCTCTTCTAAGCCTCTGTATGACCTGTGTGCTCTATACACTGTATATAATCTCTATATGTGGCTCCTCTAGAGCTTCTACATGATTTATGTTGCTCTATACACTGTAAATATCCCTACAGCTGGCTCCACTCCAGCCTGTGTGTGACCTATATTGCTCTATACACTGTGTCCACTCCAGCCTGTATGTGACCTGTATTGCTCTATATGCTGTATATATCCCTATAGCTGGCTCTTCTATGGCCTTTTAGAGCCACCTCCTCCTTACTGGTCCCTTATTGCAATCTGGGCCTCATATAGATGATAGGTCTTTCCTGTAGCTAGCAGGGGGTCTGGAGTGCCCTTGTTCTTGCCGCTGTCTAGACGCATCCCGCCTAATAGAGCCCTCCCCTCCCCTCCCTCCCCTCGCCTGGCTGCAGCGGTACGAGCAGGGCTTCATCACGGACCCCGTGGTCATGAGCCCGAGGGAGCGCGTGCTCGACGTATTCGAGGCGAAGGCGCGCCACGGCTTCTGCGGGATCCCCATCACGGAGAGCGGGCGCATGGGCGGGAGGCTGGTCGGCATCATCTCCTCCCGCGACATCGACTTCCTGAAGGAGGAGGAGCACAGCCTGCCGCTCAGCGAGGTGGGT